CAGACGACGTAGCGCGGCTGTCACGCCACTGACGCTTCGAATGACAGCCGTAATGCCTACAAATACATTATATATTGTACCAATATTATATATTATATATAGTACCAATATATAGATTTATATATATAAGTTCACTACAGAATGTTATACTATACTATATCGTGTTATATTATAGTAGTATTCCACGATATATCTAAACATCACGTCTAAGTATCTTAAATACTCGATAAAAGTGTTCAAAAACAATACGATAAAACATATTACAGCTAGTCTGAATGCATCATTATAGATCAATATACGTCAAGATGCTACTGGAGTTAACATATATCATAATGCTCCTATGAATATATTGTATTGTAATGGTTACAATTATTTTGCATAAAAAATAAGCTGCTAGATAAATCGTCTAAATATTTCATTGAACTTAGAAAACATTATACATCTAAATACGTTACGAAATTTCGTATACATGATCACGATTTCTCGATAAACTATCGTCTGACTACCTTTTCCTCAATATTGAAGTGAAATATCTTGTAAATGCATCTATAATATACATCAAAATATCTGAGATATTTTATAATGCAGTAATATATATTATATCATAATACCTTGAAAAGATTTCATTATATCCTCTAAACCAGAGAAATATCTTTAATATTTAAACTGGGAATACTTCAACACGTTGAGTCCGCTCCGGTCCACCAGGTTGTTTATTTTCCGATAAATTCAATTTTGTTTTTTTTATTTCGTTGGCCGGAAAAATTTATGATGGCGGTACCTAATTAAAATGTATAAAGTACGGAAAAAAGTAAAATTTATGCACCGGAACCTACAAATTTGCGAGTAAATATTAAATTATAGGCCTTGTTTGTCCGCGGACTTGGCCGTTTTTAGGCCATCTGGCGACCATATCGAAATGAGTGGATCATTAAGGCTACGTAAAATATATCGTATTAGTAAATACATGTTAACGATTTATTGATAAACTATTGTCTGACCTCCTATTCCTCAATATTGGTCTTGTAAATGCATCTATAATATATTTCACAATATCTGTAATAGTACACAATATCTATAATATAATACGTTAATATATATAACATCAGAATATCTTGGAAAGATTAAATAATATCCTCAAAACATAGAGAAATATCTTCAATATTTTAAACTGGGAATTCTTAAACACGTTGAGTGCGGTATGCGGTCCACCAGTGGATTGCAGGGTGTTTTTTTCGGACAAATTCCGCTTTTGTTTTTTTGGCGCATTTTCTCATTTATGGAAAAAATGCACTATTGTGCTCGCCATGTCCGTCTGTCTGTCTGTCCGTCCGTGACCACGTTTTCATCGACGAGAAAATGTGCTCTCTGTCACTCACTGCAGTGAGTACTGAGTTATATATTTTTTTAATTTCGTTGGCCGGAAAAATTTATGATGGCGGTACCTAATTAAAATGTATAAAGTACGGAAAAAAGTAAAATTTATGCACCGGTACTTACAAATTTACTAGTAAATATTAAATTTTAGGCCTTGTTTGTCCGCGGACGTGGCCATTTTTAGGCCATCTGGTAACCATATCGTACTTATGCGATGGAAAGAAAAAATAATTTTGTATACGAGTTTACGTACCGGAATTGGAGAGAAAAATTTTTACTTTCGGAATTGCCGTGGGATCATGGCTATCAAAATACCGTAACTGCTACACACATATAAATGTGGGACTTTTGTCCAAATCCCGATGCACTTTCTGCTTTTATGTGAGTCATCCTGACCCAGTTTAGTCGTGTCAGCACTACGCACCTTCTCTGTTTGTGCTGCGGATAATAAAGTGTGTCACTACTTTGACAATGAGACCCATCCACTTTTTAGCGCATTTTCTCATTTATGGGAGAAATTCACTATTGTGCTCGCCATGTCCGTTTGTCTGTCTGTCCGTCCGTCCGTCCGTGACCTCAAGTTTTCGTCGACGAGAAAATGCGCTCTCTGTCACTCACTGCAGTGAGTACTGAGTTATATTTTTTCTGTGTACCGATTCATTCACTCGAATTAATTAATTTAACTACACAAACAATAATATATTTACCCATTATATTCTTCCGTCCTTCACAGACCGTCGGCCGCCAGCTGTGGTGTCGCGGCTACCGAAGAGCGACTCTGTGGTGCGCGGGCACAGCGTGAACCTGACGTGCGTGTTCGAGGGTTCCCCGCTACCTACCATCACGTGGTACAAGGATGACGTCATCCTGCGTCTTGATGACGTCATCGAGCGTGTTGATGACGCGTCACAGACACGCGTGGCGGGCGACCATGTCAACACCAACACCATGAGCGTGACACAGCGACGTGTGCGCTCACGGCAAGTGTGAGTGAAATGCACTGTGTTTCATCCTAATTCATTACTGTCCTTCATTCAAATGACGTTGAAAAAGCGTTGAAAACGAGTTCATTTCGTTGAATCAACGTTCATTCAACGTTTTAACTTCATGTGCCTGTTGTTGTCAACTTATTATACCAAAGGTTCTTAACTGATCTTTCTTGTTTATTAATTGGTTTTTACATGTCCATTGTTGTCACTGCTTCCCAATTATGTATGGAAATGCCATTCTTGTTGTTCTCTCTTCCCCAACTGGACATTTTAGCGTCAGATTTTACTAGGAAAACAATATGCAGTATTTTTTTCTGCACAATATTCAGCAGCTGCAATTTTAGCATCGAAATTAATTATTGTTTCGCTGAATGAGTAAAGTTCTTTTTCTCATGGGTTTCTTCTATTCAAATTCTATTTCTTATATGCTGGACTCAGAAACTGATCTTTTCGGGATCTTTTTTACCCCAATGTATTTGAAAGAAGACGCCTAGCAATCGCGTATATTGTTAGTGACGAGGGCTTTTACAAGCATTCATCATCAATGGTCATAAAGACACCATATTATGTCCATGATGACATCATATTATGTCTATGATGACACCGTATTATGCGGCCTCTTTGCTAGCATATAGTTGTTATTGACATACCGTATTATGCCATGATGACACCGTATTATGCGGCCTCTTTGCTAGCATATAGTTGTTATTGACATCTGGCTATTTCTCGCCAGACATTAATATTCGACGGCTTCTTCTTAACTCCTATTCTTTAAAACAAATATTTAATGTAACATATCTAGTTTCTCAACCACTTATTTTAATTTGTCAGTTTGAATATTTTTTTAGACTCTCAGCGCGTCAAAAAATCCTATTCACTTCCCAAAATTTCCCGAAAATGTCACTAGTATTTCTCCGGTAAATTTCGCTCACTTTAGCATTCTCAGACTTGAATATTTAAATTGCTTCTTAATTATACCTTCGTAACCATATTGTCTTCCACACTTCTGCCCAATTCATAAGTTTCTCATTTATTTCAACAATTCACTGAATTGTTATGTAGCCTAAATATCGCTAATTTTATTTCATCTGCTCACTTCGCTCCATAAAATCTCTTCCCTACGTCGCTGCACAGACATGTGTATGTGTTATGTTATATTTATATACACACTATACAAACTAGGTATGTGTATGTGTTGTGGTATATTTATATATAAACTAGGTACGTGGATGTGTATGTGTTTTTCTTCTGAGCTTCGACAATTTGCTCGTTCAAATTAAACGTACGGGACTAATCTGCCTGACCGATCGAGTTCGTCTTTTATTCCCGAGTCCCTGATAATATTTTTTGTATTCTTGGTAATCACGGAAGTGTTTCGGACGTAGCAGTCCCAGGCCACGCTGGAATGCTGCCTTCTATACAATATCCAATCCTAAATATCGCGCTTATATATAATATAAAAAATGTTTCGTAACAAAGCTTAATTTCAATAATTTTTGCATGCAAACGGACCAGTGATTTTCAGCCATTCAGTTCCCACCAATAAATCAGCCGAGACTGGAACCCGGTATATTTGCTAAGAAAACGTATATTTTAGCACCATAAATAACTTGTTTTGAAATTGTTTTTCCTGTACAGTATAAGGACAGCAGTGCGTTATTCACTCAAACATGTTAAACATTGCATCGCGCACCTGCTAACTCACACTCAATTCACTACTGAACATTCAGTAAAATTCAGCGTCGAATCATCGATGGCCGCCTATAACCCGCCCATAAATTTAACGCAGGTGACGTTTGAAAATGAAAGGCAGGCCTGGCAGCAATCCTGCCCCTGCTCCACTCGCTTGTTCGTTAGCGAGTCCAGAAGCGATGACTAATGCCCGTAGAAAAACAAAAGAAATCTTGTGTAGTCTCTGTGCAAACACACGCTGCACTCAGAAATATGAATGGGTCATATTATCAGAAAAAGAATATAGAATCTTGTGTAGTATCCGCGCAAATACAAGATGTTGTCAGAAAAATGAACGGCTCATATTATCCTAATAGTGACACACTTTTTAACCTACAGTGCGAGCAGAGAGCGGAAGATGCACTGATATGCCATTTCCGGGGCCAGACTATGTAAACCACGAATGGGCAAAATGTGCTTTGCAATTTAGAGAATGTCCCGCTTATTGCTCTTAGTGTAGAAATGAATCGCTTTTCAAGACCGGCCGACGTAAGATTTTATCTACGAAGATGTGGCCGCGGTTTTTGATTAGGTGCGAGATCAAGAAAAAAAAGCAAAAAGGTCCCGAAGAGTAAATGGCTACAGCAACAGCTGCAAAACTTACACTGTCGAGCCTTGTCTCATTATGCAATGGAGTCGAGGGGAATTATCTGGCCGCTGCCGCTATGGCTTGATCGCTTGGTGGGGACTTAGACCATGCACTCTGAAAAATGAACGGGCGATATTGTGTAAATAGTGACACACTTATGCGCGTACGTAGCACTAATACGGCCTTTTGCCGGGCTAAGCTTGCTATGGATGACCCACAAAATAAAATGCATCGTTATTTGGACAACTTATTTTTCGTTATTCGGATAACTTTATTACGAGTCATGGTATCTTCATATGCAACTCAACATTGCGCTTTCAATTATTCGCATACATTTAATATGAATCAATATTATTTGAGTTCCTAACTTCAATTAATTCTGGCGAAATAGAAGTGCAAATAAAGCGGTTAATTAACAATTAAAGTCGGCCATCGTTAGCTTAACATGAATTTAAAGTGAACAATATAAAATAAGATTTATGACTTCAAGCCTTGCATTTCGACAGACTTTAAATATTATATATAAACGGAAATTCACAGGCCTAATATCATAAAAATAAAAAATTTTACTACTTGCTCATGATTTTACTTGCGTACGGTTGTACACTATTGAAAACNGCGCAGGCTGTGGAAGTGATCCGCAGTCTGTGGAAGTGATGCGCAGTCTGTGGAAGTGATGCGCAGACTGTGGAAGTGATGCGCAGCCTGTGGAAGTGATGCGCGTCTCATTAGCTGAGCGTGCGCAGTCTGCGGAAGTGATGCTGTTTGTGGACGTGATGCGCAGACTGTGGAAGTGATGCGCGTCTCATTTGCTGATCGAGCGCAGCCTGTACGTGGAAGTGATGCGCGTCTGAGCGTGCGCAGTCTGTGGAAGTGATGACAAAGTTCATTAGCTGATGTGATGAGTCGTCTTAATTAATTAATTTGCATGCATGTCACTTGTGTGATGCGATGTATCGTGCATGTGAGTGCGCTGTACGTAGCCTATGATTGTGATGGAAGATACAGTGCATATGATGCTTGATGCTACATTGTATGATGAATTAATGATGAATGTATGATCAATGTATGTTTAATATCAGTGCAGCTTCCACGCCTCCCGAACCACACCAAATCAGTCTAAGTTAACACCCGTGATTTGAATACAATGATGGCGTCTATGTCCTGGAGTTCATTAGGACTGGACTTTGAGTGACGGCTACGCATGATTTTTCAATGTATTTTTCTTTTAAAAATCACTGAAAAATCAACGTATTTTTCTTTTAAAAATCACTGAAAAATCAACGTATTTTTCTTTTAAAAATCACTGAAATGCCTAATTGAGGAATATGGCAGTTACAGCGGCGGCCAACCGTTTGCCATTCGGCTGCCTACGAATTTGACCATGCAGGGTTGCCAGATGGTGCGCAAGAGAAAATGGCCAAATAAACTCGCAAAATAGGTCCAAAGCGACCACAGTTTAATATTAATTAGTAATGTAGTAATTTGATAAGCAGCAATTGACTTTTTCGCCTTTTTAGACGTCGAAAATTTTAATAACTGTAAGGCCATCTTTAGATTTTGGCCGGTCAACGGAATCGAAAATATAGACTCTAAGAGTCGAATTTGACCGGAAAGAGGCCCATCTGTCGACACTGCTACTTACCAGTCACCGAATTTCAAGAGCTACGTTTCTGGCCGCCTACTAATATAACGGCGACAATTGTTTACTGATCAAACTCTGGCCAGCGATCGCATTTGCATTTGAATGTCAGCAAATTACGGCAGCGAGGGTGAAAGTGTGTGCTAAGTATCTGGGGGCCAAATCTCGTGCCTGAACTACTTACTACTTACAGGCCAAAGGGTCGTGAATCTCTAGTGTTTATTGAACAGTCAAGTTGTGACTTTCCTCGACGTTTGTGATGCCAACGACTAATGCTATTGGCATGCAGTCTGTGGATTGTATTAACGTAACTTATACAGTGGCGTCTGGCCGTCCAATTTTTTTCTTAGACGAAGTTTTTTTAATTTCAACGTATTTTTATGGGAAGTATTTTTATGTATTTATCATTGAATCTATTTTTATGGTAAGAAAATGAAATAACTGTAATGAGCAATCATGTGTGATTGTAATCATGGTCGTTGCACCAATCAGGATTACCCTACGACCAGCCGCCGACATTGGTTGGACTCATTGAATTTGGTTCATAAAAGCGAATAAATTGTATGAAGAAAATTAATTTAAAAATCATAATTGTCGAATTCCGGTTTCTAGTTCAGGAACCGCTTAAAAAGAAGAATACTGGCAAATTCGTTTGTGTTGGGTCTAGCTTATTTTCTTCAGATTCAGCTTAAAATTTTTAATCGGTATTTTAGTATAGAAATTTAATTTTGAAACTAAAATGGGAGATAAAAATCATCATACTCAAACTAATTTCAACCCTTTGTCGTGGTAGCAATCAAAATTGTGCAACGCATGCCATAAAACTCTTTGCCATTAACAACAAAATTGAATTTAACTGAAAAACTCGACTTCCGAACATTACGAAGCCAAATTCGCGGTTGCCCACGCGCTCATTAACAAACTATAGTTGCCAGAATTGCTACTTCTACGCCGTTCTTAAAAATACCGTTGCTGTTGTTACGCTGTTGATAAAATACGCCTTAAGCGTATTTTTTCTTAACTGCAATAAGTGCA